CCTCAAAGGATTAAAACTGACAATGGACCATGCTTCATAAGTAAAAGCTTACAGGACTTCTTCTCTTTGTGGGGAATCCACCATAACATGAGGATCCCCTATAACCCCCAGGGCCAAGCTATCATAGAACATAACCTAAAGACCCAACTACAAAAATGAAAAGGGGGAGTAAGCCCCCACCAACAGCTAGGTTTGGCCTTATTTACCATCAATATCCTCAATTTTCAAAAAGGTCAATTGGAATCTCAACTCCAAAAACACTGGGGGCATCAGGAGCAAAGACCAGAGGTATGGGTCAGATGGAGGGATCCAGTAATGGGACAATGGCAAGGACCCGACCCGCTCCTTACTATGGGCAGGGGGTTTGGATGTGTCTTTCCCATGGATGAACCCCAACCCATCTAGGTACCTACAAGGAATCTAAAGATGCAGGAATAACCCTGTCCCAAAAGTAAGAGCCCTTTGAGGAGGATTTCTATGCCTTACAGGATGGAGTATTTTGGATGGAAAGCTTTCATTGCCGTGCTCGCCACTGCTGCCCTGGCCATCATCATCTTTATCGTTACCATCATTATTCAAGATCTAATCAATAGATGGCTGACCAAAATCTGTCAATAATGGTACTCCTTTTCCTGCTAGCCATCTGTCAGATAAAAGCCGAGGACCTCTGGGCCTTGGTCCGTTCCCCGCCTATACTCTTGCCCTTCCCTTAAAGTGAAGAGCTGGCAATTACCAAAGACATGGCTTGTGACCCTTACTTTAGGTCACTTTGTCTCACCCCTTACAGAGTTCAAAATGTCACTAAATTGTGCCTACAACTCGTAGACTATATTCACGGCCACTGGAACCAACAATTTCTTAATTATTCCATATTGCTGACCAATTAGATTATTGCTCTAAATTATACCTGGGCCCCGTTCCTATCGATGGACTCCTCCTTTTTTAGTAAGGTATTGGGAGCATGTTTCTAATGCTTGTGCTAGCTTTTGTTCTCCTCAGGTGTCTCTGCTCGGTTATCAGAAGACAAAGACAGACAAAGAAAGTCCTGGTCGAACTTGCCCTGGCCACCCAATCCCCCTCGGGCCCCTCCTCAAGATAAATTCAGGCATGGATGCTTGAGCTAGCCTGAGGGCCCAAGTTGTTTTGCTCCCTTATGGGATAGACCCCTGACATGTAAATGCGTGGCTAATCCCAATGACAGGTAAGACCCTCCCAGACTGATGAACCTAAGACAGGGGCCATGAGGGCAATCATGGTTACCCAAGGATGGGCAACTTCAGCACCTGAGGAGAGGCGACCTAAGACAGGGAGGACATAGCAGCAGAGGGGAAAGGGGATGGTGCTCCCCGTCCCCGGGGCTATCCTTGAGGAACCTCACTTTTAAAACAAGACAGGGGGAGAGATGCGGGGGCCTGAGGCCAGGGGCGAGGCAAGAAGGCACCTAGAGGAAATGGCTGGGGCATGACCAGACTTGTTTGGTGCCTAGAGGAAGTGGCTGGGGCGCGGCCAAACTTGTTTTGAAGAATCACTAATTGGCTCCTGTCATTTCTGTGCATCTTGGCAGTGCGTAATCACTTCATGAATGCTATGCTGTGCTATGGAGAGGAGACTGCATGCTCAAGTTGACCTTTAACATGATTGGACTCTTGGTTGGGGAGGGAATTTTCCTTTGTGGTTTTTGCCTTCATAAGCCCTGTAACGCCTGCAATAAATGAGTTCCTGCTTGACTGACTCTCTGTCACGTCTGATTGTCTCCCAGCGAGGCTGCGGGTAACAGGTGGACAGCTTACCTCCCTTTCCCTGGCTCCTGTGTTGGGGCAGGATCCCTGACACTGCCAGGCATGATAGCATATACAGAGGCAGGTAGATCTCTGTGAGATCAAGACCAGCCTAGTCTACATAGTGAGTTCCAGGCCAGCCACAGAGAAAGGGAGACACTGTCTTTAAAAAAAAAGAACACAGAACCCAAAGTAAATAATAAAGATCAGCAGAAATCAATGTAACAGGGAACAGATCAGTAATGCCACGCCAGTCAAGTCGTAAGTGCAGTTCTTGACAAGGTCATTAAAATAACACACTTCTAGACATGATGAGAGCGAAGAAAGAGAAGGCACAAACCACTACCATTTGGAATAAGAAATGTGAATGTGGGACTGGAGAGATGGCTCAGTGATTAAGAGCACTGGCTGCTTTCCCAGAGGATCCCGGTTCGATTCCCAGCACCCACATTGACAGCCATAACCATCTGTAACTCCAGTTCCAGGGGATCAAACATCTTCTGGCCTCTTCAGGCATTACATGACATGGGTGCACTTACATATATGCAGGAAAAATACACACATAAAATAAATTTTAAAAATGTGAACTCTAACTAGAGAGATTGCACAGGTATTAAAAAGTATAATATGAAAATCCATGAAAATAAATTAGAGAACTTGAAGTGTACAGAGCCCTTAAAATATACAGACTACCAAGGCTTAATCAATAAGAACCTAAGAAGTGGGCCAGTGAGATGGCTCAGTGGACAATGGCTCTTGCCACCCAAGTCTGATGACCTGAGTTTATTCAATTCCTAGAAACCATGTAAAGGTGTGTTATGGTTTGAATGAGGAATGTCGTCCCATAAGTTTCAAGTATTTGAACACTCTGTCCCCAGTTGGTGGCACTGTTTTGGGATGTTTGGGAGGTGTGGCCTTGCTGGAGGAAGCATGTCACTGGGGGTGGGCTTTCAGAGTTCACAGTCTTTCCCCGTTTGAGTCTGAGTCTTTCTGCTTCTTGTGCCTGCTTGAAGATGTGAGTGCTCAGCTTTCTGCAGCTGACTCCTGCCAAGCCTTCCCCAACATGATGGACTCTTTCCTTTGAAACCAAAAGTCAAATAAACTCTTCCTTTTATACACTGCCTTAGTCATGGTGCTTTGTGTTTTAGCATCAATAATGTATCTAATACAAAGTAGAAAGAAATTATTCCACAGAGTTTTCCTTTGAGACTCCATGTGTGCTATGGCACACATGCCCACACACATACCATGCAAAGGCACATAGCATACATATGCACAACCCCCCAATACAAATAAATAAAAAAACCTAATAATATGATTTTTTTCTAGTACATCAATGGAATACATAGTTTAAAAGTGTCCCACAAAGAAAACTCCAGGGCCTCAGGGGTGAACTCTTTCAAATCTAAGGAAGAAACAATATTCATTCTACACAAAATCTGCCAGAATGTGCAAGAGGAGGGAATGCTGTGGACGAGTATAAAGGCAAAGCTTAATATACATTAGTAAAGAAGGTAACTGTCTGAGAATCCCCAACAGAAAATCCACATAATTTCAATACATACAGCAAAAGTATTTGACATAAAGAGCATCTATTCTTGATTAATAATTCTCAGTAAATTAGTAATCTACCTTGCTAACCTGGCAAAAGGATTCGACAAAGCCTTTCCCATGTCACTTCGGACACTTTGCCATAGGCAGGAATAAGGCAAGCTGTCTTTCCTCATCACTTCTATTCAGGCTATCACAACTATTTCAGACGTCTTCCCATGCATTAAGGCAAGGAAAATATAAAACACAGCCAGCCAAGAAAGGAAGAAGTAAAATTATATTTAATGTATGACTGTACATAAAAGACTTGAGTTTAGCAAGCTTGAAGGATGTAAGATAAATATATAGAAATCAATTGCTTTTTTAAGTACTAAGAGCAAGTGATTGAAAATTAAATTTATAATTATTTGTTCACAACAGTATTAAAAATGTTTTGGGAGCAACAAATCTGCCAAAGACATGCAAAAATCTACAAACTAAAAAGTACAAAATATTGCTAACAGAAACTGAGTATGTAAATAAATGAAAAGATACACATTTTCAATGGCTAGAATATAGTATCATTACAATGCAAATTTTCCTTAAATTGACCTATCAGTGTAATTCCAGTCAAAGTCCCATCAGGCTTTTTGTAGAAACTGACAAGATGGGGCTGGCTAGAATGGCTCACCAGTTAAGAGCACCGATTGCTCTTGCAGAGGACCCAGGTTCGATTCCCAGCACCCACATGGCAGCTACGAACCATCCTTAACTCCAATGCCAGGGGAACCCAAAGCCCTCTTCTCACCTCCGTGGCATTGCACGACATGGGTGCAATCACATACATGCATGCAATACACTCATACACATAAAATAAAAATAATAAATAAAGCTGGGCATGGTGGCGCACACCTTTAGTCCCAACACTTACCTGGTCTACATAGTGAATTCCAGGCCATCTGGGGCTACAGGGAGACCTTGTGTCAAAAAGACCAAAAAAAAAATAATAAAATAAATAAATAAATAAATAAATAAATAAATAAATAAATGTATTAAAAAAGTACACCTCCTGGAAAACACAAGTTATTCCTTTTATCAAGTTTAAAAGAATTAAAAGCAATGGATCTATTTTCCTCTATGTGTATGTGTGCATATATAGACATAAAAAACTTCTTAAAAAAGGGAGCAATGCCCATAGTACCAGCTACTTAGTGGGTTGAGGTAGGTGGACTGAGTTTGAGGTCTTACATAGACTATATAGTGAGACACGACTCCCTCCCCCACAAAAAAGTAAGAGAAAGATAAACATAATATTCTAGTTTATGGTTGGGATGGTAATTTAGTGGAAGAAGGGAAGGGGTAGCTAGATTACAGGTATAGTGTAGGTAAACAAATGGCTAAGACAAAGGACCTGGTAAACTGATGATGAGAGAAGACATGGGCCAAGGGTTCAGTATATAAGTGCCAAAAATAAATGAACACACAAATGCATGGACCTTAATATCGCAAAAAAGTTGATACTAAAACTATATCCTGGGCATGTACGAGTGGTACAAGGACTGTCCACAAAGCACAGAAATGGTAAATATGCCATCTCCTATACCACCATGGATACTTCAGCTGATTCATTCAAGGACAGACCATCTGATGAGGATGAGGAAACATTTTTATTAGAATTTATTGAAGCCTTACCTATTGTATGTAAACTCCACATCCAGAGGTTCAAAGTTGTACATTTGTTCAAATCCTGGATTAAGTTTAAGAGTTACATCTTCTTCATGAATCTGAAAAATAAATGGGTAATTTAATTTCCAGATACCAGATGTGAGTTCCTGGAACAATCTTACATCTGTATCTGGCAACACACCATGAAAAATGTATTTTACAGATCTGAGCCAAAATTTGGTAAGTATCTGAACAACTAATTCAGAGAGTTAATTATTGTGGTATTAAGGTATACAAGCAGGAGGCACTGGCAATGTCTCCATTTATACCAGCAACATTTAACTAGCTTCTCCCTGTGCCAAACACACTGTGAATACGGAGTATAAGTCTTCCAAGTCAGAAAAGTGATCCTGAGGAGTTAAGGCCTCCACAGAAAGTTCATTCCAGGATTTTCCTTTTTAGTAGTACTGGGAAATAAAGTTAGATCCTGAATAAAATAACTCCTCATACTTTTTCCTGAGTAGGAAAGAAAGAAAAACCTCAGAGGACATACAAGAGGAGAAACAGGAAGGCAAACAATCTGTAAAAGGAACCTAAACATCCTCAGGTGAAGAGGAGCGCTGACACAGGTGGCTTCTTGAAGCCCAGGCCTGACTCTGGTGCAAGGTCAGAAGCTACAACTAGAGCGAACCCTGAGACCGTGGGCAGGACATAAATGCACAAACATTGACCACTATGAGCCCTGGTGTCAGAGTGCTCTCATTCCTAGCAGATGCTGCCACAGCCATTTATCAGGACAGCCACCCAGCAGAGGCTCCTGAGGTACTGAAAAAAGTGAAAGGGAACCCATAACCCAAGGTCACTAATCACACCCAGAAACAAGGCACTGTATTAGTCACTTTTCTGTTGCTGTGATAGAAGCACTGACCAAAGCAACTTACAGAAAGAAGAATTTATTTGAGCTCACGGTTCCAGGGGAATTACAGTCTGTCTTGCTGGGGAGGCATGGTGGCAGAGGTGGCTGGAGCAGGAGCAGCAGAAGCTAATCTCTCACATCTTCAAGCAGGCACAGGAAGCAAGAGAGCGACTGGAGAGCAACTGGCAAGGCTTAAGAACTCTCTAAGCCCACCCCCAGTGCCATGCCTCTTCTAGGATAGCCATACCTTCTAAGACCTCCCAAAACAGCATCACCATCTGGGGACAAAATGTCCAAATACTTGGAGCCTATGGGGGACATTTTCATTCAAACCACCACAGCCACTAAGAATGAGAAGGCTACAAACCCTCACCAGCATAGGACACTGTACACTGACTTGACCATTTATATAGAAAGCTTTGTAAGAAGCAGGGCATGGTGGTGCATGCCTTTAATCCCAGCACTCAGCAGGCAGAGACAGACGGATCTCTGTGACTTCTAGGCCATCTTGGTCTACATAGCAAGTTCTAGGCTAGCCAAAGCTACGCAGCAAGATGAAGACAAGACAAAGAAGAAAAAGAAAAAGTGGAGGAAGGAGAGGAAGCAGCAGCAGTAGATGGAGTAAGAACATGGAAAGACACATAAGCAAGCACAAGACAACACAAAAACATCAGGTCACAGCAGAATACCAGAGCACTGAGAAGTGAAGGATAGGGGGGAACTAAGAGGGGCATTTGTTCTCTAGCACGTGCCCTTAGTGGGTAGTTCTGAGCATGGGCTCAGCACAAGAGTCTTTTCTCCCTAAGCCTCCCAAAACTGGTCCTCCTAAGAAGGCACAACTTGCCAGGGACAAGAGACCTACTTTGGCCTGTCCCTGCTGGTTGGAAGGTGGTAACCTGACTTCAAAGTGATTAACTATTTGTTTCAGAAGTGATTTCTCCACCAGTCATACCACCTGGCCTCTTGAGAGCTTCTGTATCATCTTATGTCCCACCCCATGTTCTGGCTAGAAACTCAATGGCAGAATTAAGGGGAAGTCGTGCTGAGACTGCAGAATGCACTAACTGAGCAGCTGACTTTATGGGAGCCCTTTACTGAAGGGCTGCAGCATCTCAGTACCATATTAGTGTGTCCTTCTTCCTAAAGCTTCCACCCTGCTAGCTCTTTCAGGGCATGCCTACACTGCCCAAACCTGATTAAATACAAACATGACCACATATTTTACATAGTTGAAAAAATTACAGAACTTCTTAGACATCAAGTTCCCTTTACACATCAAATATTATTCAAAGATTTACTGTATCTTCACATTTCCCAACATTCGACAAAGCCCACGGGTGTACTCCCTTCCTGGGGATGGATGGGTGAGTTGGCCGGATCATCATTCCTTAGGAGAGTGCCCTCTCACCTCCATGACGTAGCCGATGTATTCAATGACATGTCCATTGTATTCTTGAGATTTTAAAATCAATTTGTCACCTAGGTAAAAATATATTACCACATATCAAAATAAGATAAAATTATAAATTTCTATTAATTCACTATGAAATAAAGTCTTAATGAAATGGAATATAAAATAGAACATTACTGGTATCAGTTGCTTAAAGATAATGTGAGTGTAACACACACGCATAGCATACATGTTACATGTTTCCATTTAACTTAAAATGCTACTTCAAAGGACAGAAATAGGATAATTCAAGTATGTGGCCAGTTAAAACCTTCTCCAACCCGAGCTGTTTCTTCTGCTGGGCCCCAGAGAACCTCAGCATGATGATCACACCTGCATAGAGGGAAGGTCTGCTCTCAGCAAGCCCTGGGACCTCCAGCACCAGCAGATCCCCCTTCCTTTTCAGGACAACTCCACTCATGTTGTACTCCTTCAGTTCCATTTCCGAATGGATCTCCTCAAGCCATAGCAGAGTGGAGAACTTCTCCTTGTAGTTTGACATGTTCAAAAGCTGGAGAAAAATCAGTGAGTCAGCAAAAAAGAGCAGCACATCCTGTGTCCATGTGGAGGGAATATGCACCCGAACTGCTTACGTCCAACACTTCTACTCCAGACAAGATGATTCAGGGTTAGAGATTATGAACCTGGTCAGCATGCCTCCTACCCCTGGCTTAGAGAGGACCATAGGGCTCTGGCTCTTCTCTGATCAAACCACCCACTATCATAATCTGGGCCTGCCAGCCACCTCTGCTGTCCCCAATCTCTCTGCCAGGTCTTTGAGTTTATTCTGGAAGGGGCCATGTGGCTTACACAAAATGTTTTTGGAAAAGAACAGGATCTCCATTGGCCTAGATATTGTGGTAGGGACCAGCTTCTTTCCTGCCTGAAATAACTTAAGAAATACCTAAATGGAGCTGGGTATGGTGGCACACACTTTTAATTTCAGCACTCAGGAGGCAGAGGCAGAGGCTAGCATGACTGACATACCAAATTCCAGGCTAGCTGGGGCTACAGAGAAACCCTGTCTCAAAAGACCAAGAAAACAACAAAAACCTAGATGGAATGGGGTATGTTATGAGAAAAACAAAGCCTATCAACACTACATCACACAAAAATAAGACAATCAGAACAGAAATAGAACTACTCGGGTAACAGAATTAGAACTCAGAACTCTTCTTACAAAGGAAATCCCTGGACCTGGTGGTTTCATGAATAAAAACATTTAAAGAACTGACACCAAGTCTTTTGAAACTCTTCCAAAAACATTCCCAATAGAATATTTCCTAATTCATTCTAAGAGGTCAGCATTACCCTGATACCAAAGCCAGAAAAGGACATTATAAAGAAAAAAAAAAAAAGCATGCAGAGCAGGCCTAAAAACCCAGCACTCTGGAAATGGAGGCTGGAGGATTACAAATTTGAGGCTAGCCTAGGTTGCACAGTAATGTGGTAAGATGATGATGATGAAGGGAAAGAGGAAGAAGAAAGAGGCAGAAGGGGAGGAAAGAGGAAGGAGGGGGCAGAAGCCAGAGAAGGGTAAAGGAGAGAAAGAAGAGTGGGGCACAGTGGTGCTTCTCCCAACTCCTCAGCAGGCTGAGGGACCAGGGTAATGTGAGCTTAGGAGTTTGAGGCCATCCTAGGAAACATAGCAAGATTATCTCAAAGCAAAACAAAAAGAACAACTCCATCCTCCCTCCCTCCTCCCCAAACTACAAACCAATGTCTCTATGAACACTGATGCAAAACTGTCACAAATGTTAGCAACAATGTAGTAGTATAGTAAAAGAATCATCCACCATAATAAAAAAAGACTTATTCCTGGGATGTGGTAAGGATAGTTCAATCTATGAAAATTAATGAATATAGCAAATCACTTTAACAGAAGTGGAAAAAACACATCATCATCTTGATATGGCACCTGACAAAATTCAGCACCCTCTCATGATAGAAACATTGAACGATCTAGAACCAGGGGGAACTTTCTCAATATGATAAAGGAAGATCTATTATTATTATATTATTATTTTATTATTTTTGGTCTTTTTTGAGACAGTCTCCCTGTAGCCCCAGCTGTCCTGGAACTATGTAGACCAGGCTGGTCTCAAACTCACAAAGATCTGCCTGCCTCTGCCTCCCAAGTGCTGGGATTACAGGCATGTGCCACCATGCCCGGCCAGGGTAGATCAATTTTTAAAAAAAACAGAGTTGGGGCTGTAGAGATGGCTCAGTGGTTAAGAGCACTGGCTGCTCTTGCAGAGGATTCGGGTTTGATTCCCAGCACCCATATGGGAACCATTCATAACTCCAGTTCCAGGGGATCCAAAGCTCTCTTCTGACCTCCTTGGGCACTGTACAACACAGGTGTACTTACACACATGCAGACAATACACTCATACACATAAAATAAAAAATAATAAAATCCTGGGGCTGGAAAGATGGTTCAGTGGTTCAGAGCACTGACTGCTCTTGCAGAGGACCCGGGTTCGATTCCCAGCACCTACATGGCGACTATGAACCATCCTTAACTCCAGTTCCAGGGGAATCTGAAGCCCTCTTTTCTGACTTCCGAGGCACTGCACAACACGGGTACACTCACATACACACAGGCAATACATTTATACACGTAAAATAAAAATAATAAATAAAACCTGGGCGTGGTGGCGCACGTCTTTAAGCCCAGCACTTGGGAGGCAGAGGCAGGTGGATCTCTGTGAGTTCAAGGCCAGCCTGGTCTACATAGTGAGTTCCAGGACAGCTGGGGCTACAGGGAGACCCTGTCTCAAAAAGACCAAAAAAAATTTTTTTTTAAATAATAAAATCTTTTTTTAAAAACAAACAAGGCCACAGTTGACAACATACCCAGTGATGAAAGACTGAAAACTTTTCCTTTACGATCAGGAATGAGACAAAGATGTCCACTCTAACCATTTTTACTTATTTGTAGAAGTATTGGTTGTAGCAATTAGGTATGAAAAAGAAATAAAAGATATCCAAATTGGAAAAGAAGTAGAATTAGCTGCAGATAGGTTTTTTTAATCTTTTTGAGATAGGGTCTCCCTGTAGCCCCAGTTGGCCTGGACCAGGTTGGCTTTGATCTCAGAGATCAGCCTGCCTCTGCCTCCCAAGTGCTAGGATTAAAGGTGTGCATCACCATGCCCAGCTCTGAAGATAGTTTTTAATATATGAATTCAGCAAAGCAGCAGGATACAAAAGTTAATTTCTAAACACTAAAAATGAACAATCTGCAAAGAAAATTAACAAAGTAATTCTACTTATAACAGTATCAGTATCAACCAATCAAAGAAAATATTTAGGAATTTAACCAAAGAAATGAAAGACTTGTTTGGCAAAAAACAAAACAACCCCCCCCCAAAACACTGCTGATAGATATTAATGAAAACAAGTTACTATATATTCATGGATTGGAAAACAATGTTTAAATGTCTACACTGACCAAAGTGAACTACAGATTCAATGCAATTTGTCAAAACTGCAGTATTTTTTTTTTTTTTTGCAGATATAGAAAACCTATTCTAAAATTCAAACGGAATCTTAAGAGATGCTGAACGGTCAAAAGAACCAAAGTAGCTCTGTGCTGGTTAGTTTTGTCAACTTGACACAAAGTAGAGTCACCTAGGAAGGTACAGCTTCAGTTCCAGCAGACACCCCATACTGGAGGTGCCAGGACTGTGGGATGACCTCCAAGGGCAGTGGCAGGTGTGAAGTGGTGGCACCCACCCGGGCTTACAAGACAGGCTGTGTGTTGGAAATGGCAGAACCAGAAGACTAGGAGTAAGTCCTAGATGTCAGATGCTGAGCTATATGAGTTGGAGCTACACTGTTGTCTCTGGTTTTAAGTATAAATGTTTTTTAAAAAAGGAAAGAAGGGGCTGGAGAAATGGCTCAGCAGTTAAGAGGCTGTTCTTGCAGAGGACTCAGGTTTGATTCTCAGCACTCACATGGTGGCTAACTGTCCGTAACTCCGGTTCCAGAGGAATCTGATACCTCTTCTAACCTCTGTGGGCACTGCACGACACAAGTGCACTTACACACACGCAGGCAATACACTCATACACATAAAAATAATAATTTTTAAGTCTTTAAAAAAAGTTTATTGATTTTTTTTGTGTATATCACACAGAACATCCCAATGTTATTCATCTATACACCCACTTCCCAAATGGCACCCTCCCACAGCCTCCCCTCTCCACTGGAGCCCATATACTCTGTCATCCCAGTTACTGTCCCCTGTGTTGTTGGCACCCCCAGCCATTCCCCAGTGCTTGCCCATCTGCTGAATCTAGTCAGCCTATCTAGAGATCTTTGTTTTAGGAAGATCAGCTGTTCCTCATCTAGCAGCAATCAGTTGTCAGGATTTCTTTAGATAAGATTTGGGTCTGCTGTTTATTTTTCCAGTTTTATGCTGGGTTACTGTCTGGGTGTCTTTTGGGCCACCCTGGCCAATTATTCAAAGAAAGGTATCTCCTGTCTGGCATTGTTTCTTGTTATACAGCCTTTAGCTATACAAATGGACTCTTAAAAAATTTTATTGACACCATTTATCTTTGGTTATACTTTCCTTTTGGGTGTTTAAGACCCCCCAATTGGCCCAGATAAACCAATTTACTTTTACTCTTAAGGTTATTTGAGGCTCTGTTCCTCAGGGGTCACATGGGCTTAGAGGAGCCCCTGGCTCCTTTCTTTTACCAGTTCCATCTATGTGAAGATAAGTCAAAGGTCCTACTCGACCATGGCTGGCTTTGCTTGGAAGCATGGAGGAAATGTTTCCTCTGTGTTGACCCTCCTCTTTGTAGACCAGACACTGGTTCAAGTCCATCTGGTGGGATCACATATTTTTTTAAAAAGGAAAAGAAAACAATTAACAAATGCTGGTGAGGATGTAAACAAAAGAGGAACCCTTATTCAGTACTGGTGGGAATGTAAACTAGTCTAGCCACTACAGATGTCAGTATGGAAGTTTCCAGCCCTAAAGCCTAATAATCTTAATGACTAGCAGAGCAAACTACCTCTACTGGTGCAGTAGTGGCACTACTATCTGCGGGGGGATAATCAACAGCTATCTAATTGGACTTAAAGCCCTCTCAATGAGAGAGTTCTCATGGGTGGCTCTGTAATTATAGTTAAATACACAAGGCTGGAGATGTCATAGATCCTAGAGAAAACCCCATCTCTGTCATATCTCTAGACAAATGAAATTTATTACCATATGCTAAATATGGGTTCTTATATTTACAAATATACCATACACCATTCATGAAAGAAGCTTCTTTTTTCCAACAAATAGAGGCTACTGCAGAGTTCCATAACTGGTCACAAAACAGAGAATATATGTCTAAGAGATGCTCAGTCCTAGGTGACATACCTACAGTGGAATCTCTATACCTAAGGCTTATGAAACATAGTCAACCAGGGGATGGAGAGAAAATTAGTGCATCCCTCAACTCTCATCAGGGAAGCTTCCTTATACAACAGAGTACACAATACACAAAG